TATTAAAACAGTTTGTGCTCTCTTTTTCATTTGATTCAGCAAGAGAACTCGACACACTCCCAGAGGCAGGGTTCTGTGAAAAATTTTCCCCTGACCTTGAAGGATTATTTTTCTGCTGGCTACGTGAACTGTCATCGGTTTTAGTAATGCAATGCTGAGTGTGCAAAGAGTTAGAGGCATTTTTGCCCGAAAATCCTCCCACCCAACTCTGCAAAGAGAATTTCGAAGTATTTCTGTGCTTCTGGATAAGAAAGAAATGACAAAATTAGAACATGTAAGTAACACTTGTACAACAAGCTACGCAGAAAAGGAAGAAAATAATCTTCAGTGCAAGGCTCAGATATAACCAAAGGAGATGAGTGATTATATTTAAGAATTAGCACAATCAAATTGAAAAATAAGATTAAAGGTTAGAGCAAATATATGAATACTTAATGACTGATCCATCCACTGTGAATGCATTAATTAGTAAATAACTATACACTAGGTCTACAGATTTCCTTATTGTGTCTTCAATTTTATCTCTCATCAAGTACAAATCAAAATGTCATAGTAAAATACATCTCAAACGAGTTAAAATATTTAAAGAAAAAAAAAAGAAACCTTTTTAACTTGGAACCACCCTGAGTTCCGATCATCAACGACTTCATTATCCTCCATCAAGAAACGACCAATGCAATAAGTGATTACGTGAAAAAAGTTAGCAACATTTCGTAAAAACTCTCATAGGGATGATAAAACAAGACACTGTCGAAATCGAGAATCATTGAAGCACGGAGGGAAGGGTATCGATTGAGAAGGAATTTGAAAGCTAAATTGAAATACTGTACCAAAAAAAGAGTGCGAGTAAAGCAATTACTCTTGAAAATTAGAGTGGAAAAGACGATGGAAAAGAAAACAGAGAGAAAAATCGAAAGGGTAGCGTGGAAGAAGGGGATTGTGCAGTTTTGGTTAGGGTTTTGAGGAAAATTTGGAAAAGAAATGAACAGAGAGCGTTGAAAAGGAGGGAATGAGGTTTATAGGTGGGTTGAGAAACAGCATGCATTGCAGACACCACACAACCATTGCGTTTTCTCTTTCCCTTTCTTTATTTTCTCTTGTTGGTTGGGTCGGTGGTGCAGTACAGATACTTTACCATAAAACAGATTTCTTCTTTCTTTCTTTTTTTTCTGTTTTATTAACTATTTTAAAGAATCTCTTCCAAACATCAAACAACAAATTATGATTAAGGTAACCGATGTGAGAAGCTTTTTATCTTGGAAAAATTAAACTATTACAAAACAAATCACTAAATAAGTGAGCTTAGAAAAATTAAGATAGCTCAAATCAATCTGTTATCGTAAGATATATTAGGATTGAAATTGATATGTCTATTTTTTTCTTTTTTGTCTTAAAGTACATACTTTGATAATTTATAAGGTTATTATATTTTTCAGTGAGAAAAAATATGAATAAATGAAGATTAAAAATCCAAATTAAAATAGTATTGGACTTTTCCATCCGACTCTTAACCTTAATTTATTTCGTTCCTCTTATTTTTGTTCATGAATTTTAAGAGAAGATGCAAGAGAAGTTATATTCTGATGATTGCGTTAGGTTGCTTATATGAATTTGCAAAAATAAAAATAAAAGAACAGAACAATAGATTTCTCATATAAAAACTCATTATTTAAGATATGGGATTTGAGAAGAATAGTTTGAATTATTTGTTTTTGGTCTAACTTTAAATTTTTTTTACACACTTCAGATCTAAAGTCAAGTAAAATTAAGTCAAGTGAGATTCAAATAATCTCAAGTTAACTAAAATGGATCTAAGTTAGTCGAATTTTAGTTAAGTTGACACAAATCATATTTATTTAAGTCAAGTTAAAATTAAGTTTTATTCAAGTTGTATTAAGTCGGACTAAACACATATTGATATAAGTTAGATTAGATTGAGTTGAAATCAAGTTGAATCTACTTTTTGACAAATTAAGATAGTTTTTGACAAATTAAGATAGGTTTAGATGACTCATCTTGGATTAAGATGGGTGTTAAGACATATTTTGTAAACATATTTATATTGGACAGAGATTGTACTTTCTAATTATTTTGGTTTTGATTCATTACCATTCTTTTATTGAGTTATTTGAGATATTTGTTTTAAATTTGCATTTTTAACTTGTATATCCTCCACTTTGGTAATGATTTTTTTTTGTTGATTTTATTATATTAGATACTTCAAAAGCTTTAATTTAAATATATAATATATTTGGACTCTTCTACTTGTTCCTATGGTTTTTAAGTTATGCTAAATTTGTTGAAATTTGGTAAACTAAACATGTGAATTTGACTTTTCTTTGTATTAACTTATCTTTTTTTATTTGGGTTTATAGACTTTATTATAGTCCATATTACACCTAATTTAGCTTCAGACTTCAAACCTTAAACCTTATATAAGGTGAAAACATATTTTGTATAGTATATAAGAGTTATACATCACAATAGAGAATTATCTATATATTTAATATTTTATAAGGATATTAATATAAATATTCCATGAGCATTATAAAAGTATCTCTCAAAAATTTCTTGAATAAAAGTTTGTTCTTCTTATACTCGTTTAGCAAATACATACAAAATAAAAATATAGAGTGAGATATTAGTAAGTCTTTGATATAAATCTTAATAAACATATAATACATACAATGAGACTTGAGATTTGACCTACAACTATAAAACTCGTTTATCAACCTACAAAAAAACATATATATTCACTCTCCAACCTTAACAATGTTGAGCAGTCTCAAGTTTGGTTTGTAAATATATTAGTCCAAAATGTTACTTTATCTTTCATTATGTAATGTCCAAATTGTGATTTTTGAAACACGTTCTTTTATCAATTTAATCTCATCTCATTTTAACCAAATATAAAACTCTTTTCCAAATCACATACTCTTAAACAATCATAAAATTGGGTGAGTATTAAAATATGTAATTTTTTTGTTTAGTAATAATCTATACATCATCAACAAATGTAAAAAAAATAATATATAAATAACTTTCATTTAAGTTCATTAAATAAAACATTATTTACTTTTACCTTATTTTATTATTTTATACATATTAATTTGAATTATAAATGATGGTTTTTAAAATAATACAAAAATAAAATAAAAAACAAAACATTAACTTTAAATAAATAGATACGAGTCACCATGTCATAAACAAAAATAGTAATAAAGATATAAATTGATACATAAAATTAATGTATAATTAGAAACAAATTAAATAACACAATCATAAATTTAATGAAGAAGACCAATATATAATGATAATAAATTAAATAACATGAGTAAGTAAATAAACATAATCAATGAGTTAACTGGAATAAATTAAATGAGATACCTTACTGATTCTATTGACACCTTGTAATTACATTTAGATGATTAAAATTTATGACAAACCCTACAAATCATCTTTCTTTTTCTTTTTTTCTTTTTCTAGTATCTTATTTCATTCATTGTTTCACATTTTCTCTTCCACTCCATCTATTTATAAGTTAAATTTTCATTTTACTTTGATTTTGTTAAAGTTATTCTAACATTAATGTAATCTTATATTATCTTATCTCTTTCTTTTTGTTTCCTTTCTCTCTTTTTTTTCCTTTTTTTCTTTTTTATTTCTTTTTATCTGCTAGAAGTTCGTGAAATAATAATTTTTTAATATATATTTTAATTAATTAATTTTTTGTCTTTTATATTCTTTTATTATTATTTTCATTCAATTTAGTTACACTCTTTTTAAAAGCTACTTGATCTTTTTTAATGTTAAGATTTTATCTAAATAAAATATGAAACATTTTAAATATAATATGATTTTTTATTTTTTAAACAAGAAAAAAAATTATATGAAAAGTATACATTTTACATTGTTCAAATTTCTTAAAATTCAAAAGTAGGAATCAATTGATACACAAATTTAACTTTGTGTGATAGGATAAAATTCATTAAAAATAACTTTACAAAAGCAACAGAAGAAATTACAAGTGAACGTCTTCAATGCATCAAATATTAATACATGTATATGATTAATTGAGTCTAAAATTCTAAAATATCTTGCCTATGTATATTCTATGTTGTGTATTATATTATTATAGTTATTGTATTTTAATAACCATATATATATATATATATATATATTAACTATATATTTTGCATAATAAATTTTATAATTTTTTATTTACAAATTTTATACTTAGGAGATGTTAGATATTTAACTTGTAAACAAAATTGAGGAGAGCAAAATATTTTCTTCCGTTCTAATTAACTCTAATATTTTAATAAGATTGAAATTTATAATATGAAGTAAAACGTATTTGCATATTATTTTAATTTTAATTAGTTTATTAAGCGTTATTAAAAGATGTACTTAATTGAAATTATTTATTGTTAAGAAAATAATAGCAAATTGTTAAAATAAATAAATAAATAAGAGATTGTTTTTAAAAAAATAAACCGAAACAACCATGCAAAGGACTAAGACACCGTGATTAGCGATTGCAATTATAATATTAAAGTCAAAGTTTCTGCAATTTTAATTTCGACAAACAGTTGACCTAAACCTCCTTTAATGTACATTAAGCTCAACCAAAATATAGATTCAATTTCCATTTGCGTTTACTTCTAAATAAGTAAAAACCAACGGGCAATTTCAGGATATTGAAACCAACTCCCAATAATCAAAAACAAAATAACTACTCATTCAATAATTATGTTTAAAAAAATGTGTTAAGCAAAAATATATATTTTTTTCTATAGAGAAAAAACCTTAAATTAATTAAATTTATTTAAAAAAACATCATTTAGATAAAAAGAGGCATAATTGTTTTGAAATAATAAAATGAATTAAAAAAAAGTCTCCCCTTGAGACGGTACATTGAAGTGGTGGAATATGGTTTTGTGAAAGAAGGTATAGCTTCTCCACAAAGGAAAGACAAGACAGAGACGACTTGAAATATCAGCAAATTGCAAAAATTGTATTCCATTCTGGTTTTATCAGAAACACAATTGTGTACTTTTTTTTTCTTGGTCCAATTAAGCAAGAGGGAAAGAATTGACCCTTGCTTTGCTTGCACCCGTTATCTGAGTTGGTATGTTTTCCTAAAACGATGCATACCTTCAACCAATCTACCACAAAGACAACTAAGTTTAGAGGCAACAATGACCTCATGAGAAAACCTCTTCAGCTAAAAATTAATATTAATTTAGCATAGCAGCAGTGCATGTGAGTTGTGCCACGACCCTTCTCAGACATCCAGCCAACTACTACTAATCTAACTTTACATCACGACAATCTTGTCCTTCATCATGGCTGCTTCGTTTTCTTAAACCTTTCCTTTTTTCTCTTGGACAGTACGAGGCAAGGAAAGTGCTCCTTCTTTGCCAGTTACGTGAGACATTATTATTATTAATGTTGTTATTGTGGTTGTCTTTTTTACACCTCTTGCCTTACACTTGAGCCTCACTTTCGTTTTAAAGGTTGTGCTTGATCAAAAAGTCAATACAAGGTTGAGGTTGGTGTTGTGTTTATGTTTTATAGTTTTTCACTGTTTCTCTATCTGGGTGTTCATCAAGTTTGATTCTTTTCTTCTGGGTTCGTCCTGTCTTGTGAGAATACCAGTTTTCCTTTCTGGTTATGGTGTGGTGTTGTATTTAGATCCATAGGCTAATGCTTCCGGGTCCTTTGATCTGTCATTGTGATTAACGATTTCCTTGTTGTAAATATAGGCATATTGAATAGAATATGTATATATAAAGAGTTCGTTGTCATTCGCGTTCATTGAACGTCAGGTACCTTGTTTAAAACATTGGTAATGGAGAAATTGTCAAAGTAAACGAATTATTGACTCTTGACTAGAGTTTGAATTAGACATTACTGGCTCAATTTTCGTGGAAGATTGGAAGTAAAAAATTCGTTCTTTTTGTATGCATTTGTTTGTTTATTTTTGTTGTCTTAAGTTTTTAACCACGGGCTAATCATTAAAAGCTTATATAGAAACAGATATTAGATAAAGAAAATATCAATTATGCAGCTTCAAAAGATTTGTCTCTAAATTATAGGGTTTGATTTGTTTTTTCCTTTTCTGCTCATATAGTTATAATTATAAAAAGAATGTTTTTTTTACCCTTCACAAAAACCTAACTTTTTTCTTTTTCCTTTTTTTACTGCAGTTAATTTTGGATTCTGTGGTAATTGATCTACTCATGGGAATCCAGCTGGTCTTGTTTCTCTTTCTGGCTTCTCTGCGATTGGGTTTATCTCAAGATGTTGAACATGGTTTGATTCTAGTAGAAGGAACTCAAGCAATCGCTGAAACTGATGATAACTTCATCTGTGCAACTATTGATTGGTGGCCTCATGAAAAGTGTGATTACAACAATTGCCCCTGGGGTAATTCATCTGCTGCAAATTTGGTGAGTATTTTGGGCTTGTTTGTATACAACATGACTTACGTAAAGAGTATACGTATTCTTCCTATTTCCTATGACTCATTTAGAAGTCTAGAAAGCTTTGCAGAAGTTTAAGTCATTGCTCAATGTGGATTGGTTTTTTCAGGACTTGTCTCATCCTTTCCTTGTGAAGGCAATCCAAGGTATTTATATTGTAGAAAATCAGTCACTGTGATGAAATTCTATTGTTCTGTTCTGTGACTTCCTGATGCTGAATATACTTTTATTGTTGGTAACATGTTTGGAATATTTACTAGTGTGATATCATTCTTTCCATAATGGTTGCTTGATAGCTCTCAAGCCTTTGAGGATAAGAGTTGGAGGTTCTTTGCAAGATCAGTTGCTGTATGAGGTAGGAAGTTTGAAGTCCCCTTGTCATCCATTTCAAAAGATGAAAGGTGGATTGTTCGGATTTTCAAAGGGGTGTTTGCAAATGAAAAGGTGGGATGAGCTGAATCATTTTTTCGATAATACAGGGTGAGAATTTAGCATTCGGATCGTTGTTTTATTCACCATCTCCCTCCCCTTTTCCTTCCGGCTGAAGCAAAAACGTGAAAACTCTTGTGTAGGGTTCCACAACTTAAGTAAAGCAAATTAAAATTAGAGTTATGTCTCAACTGGAACTATAAAAGTTGTCAGAAACCTCAGTTCTGTTCACATGCATTTTGAGTGCTAGCCTAAGCACATTTGTAGTGTAAGGAAAGAAGAAAAGGGTGGGGAAGAGGTGATTATCTGTGGTGTAACAGCTTGAGTTTGACACTTGCAGGGCCATTGTGACATTTGGTTTGAATGCACTCAAGGGGAGGCACCCCAGTGGCCATAATACTCTTTGGCAAGGAGACTGGGACTCTTCCAATGCTTATGGTTTAATCAATTACACTGTTTCAAAGGGGTACAAGATTGACTCATGGGAATTTGGTAGGACAGAAGACAAAGCTATTTGGTATGTTCAATTTTTGCTTCACTGGAACTGATTCTTGTCTGTGCTGTCATAGGTAACGAGTTGAGTGGGAAGGGCATTGCAGCAAGTGTGAGTGCTGTACAGTACGGGAAAGACTTGATAAAGCTTAAAGAAGTTTTAAACTCATTATACAATAACTCCGATTTCAAACCTTTACTTGTAGCACCTGGAGGGTTCTATTCTAAGGACTGGTATGATAAGCTTCTTCAGGTTACAGGTCCAGGCATAGTCAATGTGCTCACTCATCATCTCTATAATTTGGGCCCAGGTTTGTTTTCAGTTACCTTACTATTTCTACTATAGTCATCTTTAGAGAATATTTTACATTCTAACATAACTAGATGATGGATGTGAAAGAAAACAGCTATATGGAGAGTGTTTTAGTCTAATCCTTTCTGGTTAGTGTGTCAAGTAAATTTCTCTTCTTTTTTTTTTCAGGTAGTGACGAGCATCTTGACAGGAAGATTCTAGATCCCGAACACTTGAGCAAGGTGGAATCAATTTTCAGAAGTCTTTCAGAAACCATTAAAAAATATGGTCATTGGTCTTCTGCATGGGTAGGAGAAGCTGGTGGAGCATTCAACAGCGGTGGTCGTCAAATTTCTAACACATTTGTAGATAGCTTTTGGTAATCTTGGTTCTTCCTTGCGTCATTTTCTGTTCCTCTTTAATTATAATATCTTGTTTTACAAAAAACATCATTAAAATAATCAAGGAGTTCTAAGATTTAGGTGACTTACAGGTACTTAGATCAACTTGGAATGGCATCCAGATACGACACTAAGGTTTACTGCAGACAAACTATAATTGGAGGAAACTACGGACTTCTCGATACCACTACTTTCGTTCCTAATCCTGACTACTACAGGCAAGTGTAAATTTAAAAAATGTAAATGAAGGGAAAAGGAATACAGAAATACGTTTTTCTACATTCTTGAGTAGTTATAATAATGTAAAAATATATTGCTTTACATATCTAATCTATGTCTGTCATGATGATGTTTTGAGCAGTGCACTTTTGTGGCATCGACTAATGGGGAAGACTGTTCTTGCAGCCAGTAGTGATGTTTTTTCACCTTCTTTACGCACTTATGCACATTGTTCGAAAGGCAGAGTAAGTGTCATATAATCTTATAGAAGCATAAATTGTGCGAAGGAACAATAGGATATTCGTTCTTCTATATCTGATCTTTGCTTACAAACTTGTGAAATTTTAAGTTCGTGTAACATCCAACAATCATACATTATTATATGCTAGATTGCATTGTAGGTCGATTCATAGAAAAAGCAACGTGATATTATATATATTAACATCCATGAATTGAATTGTAGGTAGTTTGAATTGCACGATAAGCATTCCTATAATTTTGTTTTAACTTGATTATACAGGATGGTATAACATTACTGCTGATCAATTTGAGCAATCAGACTGGTTTCACACTGATGGTTCGTGATCGAGTGCCTCTGAGTAGTGGAGGACATGAAAAGGGTACAAGTATACATGTAGAAAATTCATTCATAAATAATCTGAAGAGGGCATTTTCTTGGATTGGAAGAAAAGGATCAGATGTGACATTCAGGGAGGAGTACCACTTAAATTCAAAAGATAATTACCTTAGAAGCCAAACCATGTTGCTGAATGGTGTTCCCCTAGAGTTGACAAATGATGGAGAAATTCCGAAGATGGAACCACGTCTCATTAGTGTGCACTCTCCAATACACTTAGCTCCTTTATCCATTGCATTTGTTGTATTGCCCTACTTTGATGCTCCACCTTGTGCTGCTCAAACAAAACTTTAACCCAAACCCTCCTTAAGTGAATCTTGTAGACTACTAATTATTAGGACTGTCATTATGTATTTAATAGCTTATATATACTTGTGTCAAAGTTGTAATCACCTTTACACTTTATTCAAATTATTTAAAATTTGTCTCTAGTCCATGAAAAAGTTCAACCACTTAATTTTGTTAGATAAAATTTAGATTAGAGTGAAACTATCTATTGTAAATATGTTATCGCTTGATTAAGTGGTTGACTGAGTTTTTTTTTTATTATTATTGAGCAAGTCTTTTGCCTAATTATGTTGGTTATCAATAAAATTATCTTGTTTAAATAAAAACGTTTGATGTATTTGTTTTTTACTAATTCTTTTGATAAAATAATAAGAAATGATATTGCAGCTAAATTATATCTAATTTTGTTAACATTTTTTAATCATTAATAAAATAAAAGCAATGTACTTATTATTGACTGTACAAGTTTGATATAAATAGAATGAATTTTGGCTTAATTAATATTAACTACTGAAATTATAAGTTTGACATAAATAGAGTGAATTTTGGCTTAATTAATATCAACTAATAATAAATGAATGCGATTAAGAGAGTAATGCTATAAAAATGTTTCATTGCTCTGATAAGCTTGATATTTAAAAACCTACTTCAATTCGCTAATTCAATCAAATAAGAAANATTAAGCAAGAGGGAAAGAATTGACCCTTGCTTTGCTTGCACCCGTTATCTGAGTTGGTATGTTTTCCTAAAACGATGCATACCTTCAACCAATCTACCACAAAGACAACTAAGTTTAGAGGCAACAATGACCTCATGAGAAAACCTCTTCAGCTAAAAATTAATATTAATTTAGCATAGCAGCAGTGCATGTGAGTTGTGCCACGACCCTTCTCAGACATCCAGCCAACTACTACTAATCTAACTTTACATCACGACAATCTTGTCCTTCATCATGGCTGCTTCGTTTTCTTAAACCTTTCCTTTTTTCTCTTGGACAGTACGAGGCAAGGAAAGTGCTCCTTCTTTGCCAGTTACGTGAGACATTATTATTATTAATGTTGTTATTGTGGTTGTCTTTTTTACACCTCTTGCCTTACACTTGAGCCTCACTTTCGTTTTAAAGGTTGTGCTTGATCAAAAAGTCAATACAAGGTTGAGGTTGGTGTTGTGTTTATGTTTTATAGTTTTTCACTGTTTCTCTATCTGGGTGTTCATCAAGTTTGATTCTTTTCTTCTGGGTTCGTCCTGTCTTGTGAGAATACCAGTTTTCCTTTCTGGTTATGGTGTGGTGTTGTATTTAGATCCATAGGCTAATGCTTCCGGGTCCTTTGATCTGTCATTGTGATTAACGATTTCCTTGTTGTAAATATAGGCATATTGAATAGAATATGTATATATAAAGAGTTCGTTGTCATTCGCGTTCATTGAACGTCAGGTACCTTGTTTAAAACATTGGTAATGGAGAAATTGTCAAAGTAAACGAATTATTGACTCTTGACTAGAGTTTGAATTAGACATTACTGGCTCAATTTTCGTGGAAGATTGGAAGTAAAAAATTCGTTCTTTTTGTATGCATTTGTTTGTTTATTTTTGTTGTCTTAAGTTTTTAACCACGGGCTAATCATTAAAAGCTTATATAGAAACAGATATTAGATAAAGAAAATATCAATTATGCAGCTTCAAAAGATTTGTCTCTAAATTATAGGGTTTGATTTGTTTTTTCCTTTTCTGCTCATATAGTTATAATTATAAAAAGAATGTTTTTTTTACCCTTCACAAAAACCTAACTTTTTTCTTTTTCCTTTTTTTTACTGCAGTTAATTTTGGATTCTGTGGTAATTGATCTACTCATGGGAATCCAGCTGGTCTTGTTTCTCTTTCTGGCTTCTCTGCGATTGGGTTTATCTCAAGATGTTGAACATGGTTTGATTCTAGTAGAAGGAACTCAAGCAATCGCTGAAACTGATGATAACTTCATCTGTGCAACTATTGATTGGTGGCCTCATGACAAGTGTGATTACAACAATTGCCCCTGGGGTAATTCATCTGCTGCAAATTTGGTGAGTATTTTGGGCTTGTTTGTATACAACATGACTTACGTAAAGAGTATACGTATTCTTCCTATTTCCTATGACTCATTTAGAAGTCTAGAAAGCTTTGCAGAAGTTTCAGTCATTGCTCAATGTGGATTGGTTTTTTCAGGACTTGTCTCATCCTTTCCTTGTGAAGGCAATCCAAGGTATTTATATTGTAGAAAATCAGTCACTGTGATGAAATTCTATTGTTCTGTTCTGTGACTTCCTGATGCTGAATATACTTTTATTGTTGGTAACATGTTTGGAATATTTACTAGTGTGATATCATTCTTTCCATAATGGTTGCTTGATAGCTCTCAAGCCTTTGAGGATAAGAGTTGGAGGTTCTTTGCAAGATCAGTTGCTGTATGAGGTAGGAAGTTTGAAGTCCCCTTGTCATCCATTTCAAAAGATGAAAGGTGGATTGTTCGGATTTTCAAAGGGGTGTTTGCAAATGAAAAGGTGGGATGAGCTGAATCATTTTTTCGATAATACAGGGTGAGAATTTAGCATTCGGATCGTTGTTTTATTCACCATCTCCCTCCCCTTTTCCTTCCGGCTGAAGCAAAAACGTGAAAACTCTTGTGTAGGGTTCCACAACTTAAGTAAAGCAAATTAAAATTAGAGTTATGTCTCAACTGGAACTATAAAAGTTGTCAGAAACCTCAGTTCTGTTCACATGCATTTTGAGTGCTAGCCTAAGCACATTTGTAGTGTAAGGAAAGAAGAAAAGGGTGGGGAAGAGGTGATTATCTGTGGTGTAACAGCTTGAGTTTGACACTTGCAGGGCCATTGTGACATTTGGTTTGAATGCACTCAAGGGGAGGCACCCCAGTGGCCATAATACTCTTTGGCAAGGAGACTGGGACTCTTCCAATGCTTATGGTTTAATCAATTACACTGTTTCAAAGGGGTACAAGATTGACTCATGGGAATTTGGTAGGACAGAAGACAAAGCTATTTGGTATGTTCAATTTTTGCTTCACTGGAACTGATTCTTGTCTGTGCTGTCATAGGTAACGAGTTGAGTGGGAAGGGCATTGCAGCAAGTGTGAGTGCTGTACAGTACGGGAAAGACTTGATAAAGCTTAAAGAAGTTTTAAACTCATTATACAATAACTCCGATTTCAAACCTTTACTTGTAGCACCTGGAGGGTTCTATTCTAAGGACTGGTATGATAAGCTTCTTCAGGTTACAGGTCCAGGCATAGTCAATGTGCTCACTCATCATCTCTATAATTTGGGCCCAGGTTTGTTTTCAGTTACCTTACTATTTCTACTATAGTCATCTTTAGAGAATATTTTACATTCTAACATAACTAGATGATGGATGTGAAAGAAAACAGCTATATGGAGAGTGTTTTAGTCTAATCCTTTCTGGTTAGTGTGTCAAGTAAATTTCTCTTCTTTTTTTTTTCAGGTAGTGACGAGCATCTTGACAGGAAGATTCTAGATCCCGAACACTTGAGCAAGGTGGAATCAATTTTCAGAAGTCTTTCAGAAACCATTAAAAAATATGGTCATTGGTCTTCTGCATGGGTAGGAGAAGCTGGTGGAGCATTCAACAGCGGTGGTCGTCAAATTTCTAACACATTTGTAGATAGCTTTTGGTAATCTTGGTTCTTCCTTGCGTCATTTTCTGTTCCTCTTTAATTATAATATCTTGTTTTACAAAAAACATCATTAAAATAATCAAGGAGTTCTAAGATTTAGGTGACTTACAGGTACTTAGATCAACTTGGAATGGCATCCAGATACGACACTAAGGTTTACTGCAGACAAACTATAATTGGAGGAAACTACGGACTTCTCGATACCACTACTTTCGTTCCTAATCCTGACTACTACAGGCAAGTGTAAATTTAAAAAATGTAAATGAAGGGAAAAGGAATACAGAAATACGTTTTTCTACATTCTTGAGTAGTTATAATAATGTAAAAATATATTGCTTTACATATCTAATCTATGTCTGTCATGATGATGTTTTGAGCAGTGCACTTTTGTGGCATCGACTAATGGGGAAGACTGTTCTTGCAGCCAGTAGTGATGTTTTTTCACCTTCTTTACGCACTTATGCACATTGTTCGAAAGGCAGAGTAAGTGTCATATAATCTTATAGAAGCATAAATTGTGCGAAGGAACAATAGGATATTCGTTCTTCTATATCTGATCTTTGCTTACAAACTTGTGAAATTTTAAGTTCGTGTAACATCCAACAATCATACATTATTATATGCTAGATTGCATTGTAGGTCGATTCATAGAAAAAGCAACGTGATATTATATATATTAACATCCATGAATTGAATTGTAGGTAGTTTGAATTGCACGATAAGCATTCCTATAATTTTGTTTTAACTTGATTATACAGGATGGTATAACATTACTGCTGATCAATTTGAGCAATCAGACTGGTTTCACACTGATGGTTCGTGATCGAGTGCCTCTGAGTAGTGGAGGACATGAAAAGGGTACAAGTATACATGTAGAAAATTCATTCATAAATAATCTGAAGAGGGCATTTTCTTGGATTGGAAGAAAAGGATCAGATGTGACATTCAGGGAGGAGTACCACTTAAATTCAAAAGATAATTACCTTAGAAGCCAAACCATGTTGCTGAATGGTGTTCCCCTAGAGTTGACAAATGATGGAGAAATTCCGAAGATGGAACCACGTCTCATTAGTGTGCACTCTCCAATACACTTAGCTCCTTTATCCATTGCATTTGTTGTATTGCCCTACTTTGATGCTCCACCTTGTGCTGCTCAAACAAAACTTTAACCCAAACCCTCCTTAAGTGAATCTTGTAGACTACTAATTATTAGGACTGTCATTATGTATTTAATAGCTTATATATACTTGTGTCAAAGTTGTAATCACCTTTACACTTTATTCAAATTATTTAAAATTTGTCTCTAGTCCATGAAAAAGTTCAACCACTTAATTTTGTTAGATAAAATTTAGATTAGAGTGAAACTATCTATTGTAAATATGTTATCGCTTGATTAAGTGGTTGACTGAGTTTTTTTTTTATTATTATTGAGCAAGTCTTTTGCCTAA